GAGTACACAGGAATCCCAGTAGTACTGCGTCAGTGTGTACTAGCAGCAGTAGAACTACCAACCTGCTGGATGGAGGCCGATGGCTGCAGCTGGTTTTATTTATGTTTTGCTGGAATCAGACGGCTGTACGGAGGACCAGGAGTGACCACAAACTACTGAGTGGGAAGAAACTAAATGATCTGAGTTACGCTTTCAGAGCTGTTCCTACTTTCTGACAACATTTATTTTTATTATTTTCTAATAAATTCCACTTTTCTTGAAAAACAAAACAAAACAAACTGCATGAAACATGAACTTTTTGTGATGATTTAATTGACTCGAACATAAAAACAAATACGTTTTTTTGAACATATTTATGAAAAGAAGCCGATTTAAATAGTTTCACAGGTGTCACCAGTTTACATAAATTAAAAAGCAACATAACCAACAACAGTCCAGTAATAATTAATAATATTAAAAAGCAATAAATAAAATAAATGAATATGTCATAACGCCCAGTTTATACATGAAAGTGTTCCTCTTATACATGCTTTTTTTTTTTTTTCAAAAGGTGAACAAAGTGATAAGAAAAGCAGGTTGAATTATTAAATGTGAAGCGATTTGCTGCTGGAACGTTGAAATAATAATAATAATTATCATATAACGGTTTTATTTTGCTTATCTGTCCTGGATAATGGACGTGTTTTGTTGTAATTAATTCAAAAACTAATTAAATCAATTAAAAAAAACACTCTTACAGGTACTGAATATAGATATTAAGCTTCAAGTTGTGTTTTTACTTCATCAGCAACTTCTTGATTAATGTTTTTGTAAATTATCTTTGAAGGCACCATTAAATGTCTTCAGTATTGTGCAGCAATATGTATAAATCAACAATATAAACAACATGTTTTAAGGCTTTATGTGAGTTAATTCTGCATAAGGAGGAAACTGGGAACCACCGTCCTCCGTTTGTGATTCTAACATTCAGTCACCAGAGAAATGAATCACTGAACTCCTGATCGCTGTTCAACTCACTCAGTAGTTTAGTCATGAATGAGCCTCCCTAGGTTTTCTCTCTGTGCTGGAATGTGTTTGGATCCGTCCACTTTATCTCCACCGTCCTCCTGAAGCACTCGGGACGGTTTTTCTTCTTCGTGTAAAGTTTGTGTAACGAGATCCGATTGGGCGACGCGTGACGTCGGGTCACGTGACGGGAGCTCGAAGGCTCGGTTTGTCCGGTTGGAGACGAGAAGCTGTAGGTTTTAATCACATGTTCGTGTTTTCTTGTTCTCGATCTCCAGTAAAACCGACCTGATGCTCTTCACCTCATAGGAACCGAATGTTTGCTTTTTGTAGTTTCCTTCTTTGGCCACCGGGGGTCGCCAGAGCGTTAGACACCAACACTCCATGACTTTATCGCTCTCCACAGATTCCAGAAAACTCACTTCATCGACCAGTTTTGTCTATAAACTATCACGTGTGATTAATTATCAGACTGTTGACACTCTGGAGTTAATTGGGAGGAGGTCGGGGTCGGTGGAGGGCGTACGAAACACTCGATTCAACCTGTGATTGGTTCGGGTTCAGGAAAGATGCCGGTTAAATGTAAATAAACGCATCGTATCACGAGTCACTGTGGACTTTTAAAGCATCTTTTCTGGACCTGAACGCAACCAGAAACCCGGTTCAGGTGCAGCTGGAACATTTTACTGATCGGATCAGTATTAACGCGTCCTGCGTCTGTTTTCTTTAAACGCCGACGCAGCAGGAATCGGTGGTTTTCTTTCCTCCCGCCGTGCCGGGTCCTATTTACTCCCTCAGATATCCTGTAACACTTGTGTATTTCGGGTGTATTTTGCGCACTGTGCAATGTAAAGCAGCATAGGATGAATTTGTCTAAAGAGTCATGGCCGCTTTCAGCTCTTCGTCTGTGTCCGAACCTTGTAAATAAATGTACGAGTTGACTTTGAGAAGCCATATTGTAGTTGGGCTGACGGCCTAGCTAGCGCTCGCTGCGTCTTTTAGGGCACTTTGTTTAGATATCTTAGAGTGAAGGCAGACGTTAAACCTGCTCACAGAGGTTGTACCGACCAGTTAATTTATTCTGTTCGTCTCCCGACTGACGACAAACTAGTTTCTGTGAACGTTTTTTTTTTTTTCTTTGGTTTCTTTCGGCTTCGCTGCGGCCTGAATGTTCGCCGCCGGCTCGCCGATCGATAGCTGTACATACTGTCACATCCCGTGAGGTTTGGTCGTAGTGAAACACAAACAACATGTTTGTATCGTTCTGGAGGCTTAGAGGCAAAAATAAAGACATTTTCAAAACAAGAGAGTCGTTTCTGTTCATTTGGTTTCTGTGTTAAAGGCTGATTAGATGTTTAATCAGCGAGGGAAATAAACACACATACATTATTCATAAAATCAGCCTCTGTGTTGATCCACGGGCTCGGCTGATGTGAAAGTCAAATAAAAAAGAGTGAAAATAACAACCAGCCATCTATACATGCTTCAGACAGTCTGACTTTGTCCAACAGGGAACTTCTTCTTTCTGATAGTGTTAAAAAAATTCACATTTTCTTATAAATCTACATAAATATATGGAGGCCAATGTCTGCCTGAATTCATTTACACCTATTTTATCACCACAAATTGCTGAATCAGGATTTTTTATTTGTGTAATAGATCAAACTTAGTGTCCAGCTCTCTTCAACAACTGAAGCTTTTTCTACATTTTCTGTGATTTTGCAGAAACAAGTCGTACTTCCTGCTCACTGGTAGAACTTTGACGAGTTTAAGCAT